TTCACCCCACATTCCTAAGAGAGATAGAAGATTCTGTCAGTTTCCTCCTTGTATCATACAGATATTACTTCTTTTCAGTTTTACTTCTCTTTCAGTTCAAGCTCCTATTATCTCTTACCTAGAGAAGTGTTTCTCTAACTTAAATAATATACTAGTCTCTTACAAAGGAAAAAACTTTATGAATCTCGCTGTCAAATCAAATTTTTGTGATTTTGCTTAAAGATATACAAATAAAATTGGTGTAAACTTCTTACACTTACAGTTCTTATACAAATGTAAAACCAAACCAAATTTTTACATTTACTACTTTCAAAACTAGCATAACTAAAATGACCAAATTACAGTCAGTACTGTTTTGCCAAAACTAACCTATCAATTTTGAATTAATAATATAAAGATGTACACTTAGATCTGTTTCTATATAATCTGTCTCTGTGTTTTTCCCTCGTTTTTTAGTTGTGGTAAAATACACATGAAATTTACTATCTTAACTATTATTTTTGTTTTTTTGAGACAGAGTCTTGCCCTGTAGCCCAGGCTGGAGTGCAATGGCGTGATCTCGGCTCACTGCAACCTCTGTCTCCCAGGTTCAAGCGATTCTTCTGCCTCAGCCACCCAAGTAGCTGGGATACAGGCGCATGCCACCATGCCCAGCTAATTTTTGTATTTTTAGTAGAGACAGGATTTCACCATATTGGTCAGGCTGGTCTCGAACTCCCAACCTCGTGATCCACCCGCCTCAGCCTCCCAAAGTGCTGGGATGACAGGCGTGAGCAACCGCGCCCGGCCATTATCTTAACTGTTTTTAAGGGTAGAGTGCAGTGGTATTAAGTACATTTATATTGCTGTGCAACTATCACCACCATTCATCTCCAGAACTCTTTTCCTCTTGCAAAACAGAAACTCTACTCATTAAAGAATCACTCTCCATTCCTTCTTCCCTCCAGCCCCTGGAAACCATCATTCTACTTTCTGTCTTTATATTTTGACTACTCTAAGTACCTCATGTAACTGTAATCATACAGTATTTGTCTTTTAGTGACTAGCTTATTTCACTTAGCGTTAATACCTTCAAGTTTCTATGTCGTAGCATATGTCCAAATTTTCTTTCTTATTAAAGAGAATAATATTCCATTTTATATATACAATATATATTAATATTATATGCATGATAGATAACATATAATTAATAATATATTAATAATTATATTATTATATATTATGTTATATATATTATATAATATATTAATATTAATATATATACCATATTTTGCTATCCATTTATTCATCAATGGATATGGGTTGCTTTCATATTTTACCTATTATAAATAATGCTGCTATGAACAAATATATCTTTGAGACCCTATTTTCAATTCTTTTGAGTATCTGCCCAGAACTGGAATTCCTGGATCACTTGGTAACTTTATTTTTTAATTTTTTGAGAAAATGTCATACTATTTTCCATATCAACTGTACCATTTCACATTCCCACCAAAAGTGCTCACATATTCCAATTTCTCTATATCCTTAACAACATTTATTTTCTATTTTGACAGTAGCCATCCTAATGGGTGAGGTGGTATCTCATTATAGTTTTGACTTACATTTGTCTAATGATTAGTGATGCTGAACATCTTTTTATGTGCTTCTGAGCTTTTTGCATATTTTCTTTTGAGACATGTCTATTCAAGTTTCTTGGCCATTTTTTAATTATGTTGTTTATTTTTTGTTGTTGTTGTCTGTGGTTTTACCTCTATAACTCTCAAATAAACACTACTCGTTGGAATAAGAATGTTTCATGAAATGATTTTAGTAACTCGAGACTTTGTGTGCTCTTTCAGAAAAATCAGACTTCATATATAGCCAAACTCTGGCACTATGCATTTCTCAAATGCCAATTTTAATGAGCTGTCATTTGATAATTCAATAAAGCTTGTTCGTTCATTTTAAGGTAAGGTTAGCATGGGGAAGTTACTGAAATCTGCATTGTATGGATGCATAAAATCAGGTGCAGAAAATTCTTTGTTACTTTTGCTTTTGTATCAACTACTTATCAGTGAAGCAAGTTGGCACATATAATGACATAATTATGCTATTAAAGCTCTAGCAAAAGTTTCTTTAAGATAGCCATGCCTATACTGCTGGATACTGTCTAATAACTCATTTTTTTCATCACATTATTAAGTTTTAGAAACATTTTTTAAGCACCAAGTTTGGGTGTTTTTTTTATTCTGTAATAAATTAAAATGTCAGAAAGTTCAGCTTTCAAATTAACTGTGTCTCTTAGGCTGTATTTATAATTCACATTATTAAATAATAATATTATTCTTAAATTTCTAATTCACATTATTGAAAGATATTATTAAATGACAGTCAACTTTTCTGACTGAATAATGTTTCAGTCAATTTTTATTCAGAAAAAAAACAGAAGTTTCAGTCTTTGATAACAAAAATGTTTTCTCAGGATGGAAAGTTTTCAGTATAACCCTTTAGCTGGTGATTTATCACTCAGAAAGCAAGGTTTTAAAATTGTAAATCTTGACCGGGCATGATGGCTCACACCTGTAATCCCATCACTTTGGGAGGCCGAGGCAGGCAGATCACGAGGTCAGGAGTTCGAGAGCAACCTGGCCAACATAGTGAAACCCTGTCTCTACTAAAAATACAAAAACTAGCTGGGTGTGGTGGCATGCATCTGTAGTCTCAGCTACTCAGGAGGCTGAGGCAGGAGAATCACTTGAACCTAGGTGGCGGAGGTTGCAGTGAGCCGAGACGGCGCCATTGCACTCCAGCCTGAGCAAGACAGACAGAGTAAGACCCTGTCTCAAAAATAAACGAAAAAACCTGTAAATCTTTTTTTGATTTTTAAGATCAATTTCACGTGTCCCCTCTCCACAATATGAAATCTCCCTACCCACAATAGTCATTCCTTGGACCTTATAGTATTTGGTACCTATCTCTCAATTACTACATTTAGAACTAAAATTTTTATTTTGTTTCTTTACGTGACTTTCTCATCCAATCATCTGTGGGGTCTTAAGAGGTAGCACCTCCATACATCCAATGCAACCTCAGAATCATGTACATCCTTACTTAGCAAATGTTTAATAACTGGATGTACAATAATAGGAATGAAACCTACTTTTCTTTTGCCAGAAGTTGCCACCACTCAAATATTAATAGTCTGATGCTGCGATGAACCTGTGTGTTCCTCTGTCTCTCTTACTTCAGCCAGCATTACACATGTAGAGTCAATGAAGTTCTTTTCCTTGGCAGACGGCTGGACTGAACATTACAATGTAAATTTTCAAAATTTCCAAAACTTTAGAGTGCAAGACTCTACAGTTAGGTTTCTAGGTCTCCTTATGAGTAAAGAGAATTCAAGACCCCCTCACAGAGAATAACCAGGAAAGAATGATCACATGTCTCACAGCCCACACTGTATTTTTTTGTAGTCTCTCAATTCAAGAAGTAGAGCATGAAGGCACCCCTAATGAAATTCATCCTCTTTAAAACTTCTTTAAATAGAAAATAATCTAAACTGTTCTCCAATAGTGAGAACCAGTCTTCCTCTAGCCACTGTTGGGTCCAGATTGAAAATGCCCATAGCAAGTAGGGTGATCAATCTCCCACTGTCCCGACTCCTGCCCATTTGTCTAAGACTGGGGGATTTCCTGGGATGCAGAAATTTCAGTGCTAAATATGAGACAGTCCCAGGAAAATTGAGAAAGCTGGTCATCCTAAGTTGGAAAAATGCCATTATCTCCCATGCCAGTTCCCCAGGTGGACAGACACACCTAGGCCAATCCAATTAGTAACTGTAGGCTTTACAGGTGGTAGGCACTCATATAAAAAGTGTCTGTGTACCTCTACTACCACCACCACCCCCCTTATTTTATTTTATTTTATTTTATTTTTGGACTACAACATTTCTTTAGTTAGAGCAAGCGATCCCAAACTTTACTATGCACAGAATCACCTAAAGGGCTTGTTAAAATACATTGCTTGACCCTGTACCTGGGTTGAGACCTAATTGAGTAAGTCTGGGATAGTGCTAAAAACCTGTATTTCTGTCAAGTTACCAGAAGCTGCTGCTGATGCTGAGCTGGAGACTCAGTTTTGAGAACTACTGCTCTAGAAGTTTTGCACATTATCATCTTCTGGGACTAACACATAATCAAAAATCAAAACATGTCAGTTGAAAGTATGAACACATGAATCAGCAATAAAAAGTACAGACTATTTTAAGAATCAATCTTATTTTCTACATTTCTGAAGCAACTTTCAGTGGTAAGTACAGTTTTTAAAAAATCTTAACACACAAAGCGTAATAGAAAAGGTTTACACTTTTAGGCAGGTTTTTGAAAGAGGTGGAATAGTATTCTTTATTATTGGATTTACTTTAATGACTGATTTCTCTGTGGAAAAGTAAGCACACTGTAGCGTAATTCTGGTGACATTTGGTTCCTCTTATGTATACTCAAACCTAACAGTTGAAATATCTTTTGTCCTTAAGTCACAGTTTCACAATTATCATTTACTCTAGCATACCAAACAGGAAAAAAAAAAAAGTTCATGTTGATAACACAGTCTACATTTCTTCCAACTTTTGCAAACATTTTAATGTAACTGAGTGTGTATCACAAATATAAAAGCAATTTCAGATTGTAAATATGCATTCAATTTTATGTTCAAATTCTGCCTTTGAAAACATCTATTGCTTCCCATCAGTACACACCCTTGCCTTTAACTGGGGAGATACGGCCCTTATCTTCAAATAAATGTTCCTAACTACCCTCATTAAATGTCTGATTTGACCTAGGAGAAACTGACGTATGGTGCTTCGGTGGCAGTATTTAAATCCCATATCTGTAAAATATTTCTAGGGAAATTGATCTGAAATAGAAAACTTTTATCATTCTGATGAACAAAATGAATTTCTAAATGTCTCAACCTCAGAAACTAGCTTTCAATAATAACAATTCTGTTTTTGTCCCCAGCGTTCCGGTGGTGCCCTTGCCATTCCCTTGTGTGCATTCCAGGGGACTGTGTCTCTCCATGCACCTACAGGGAAAACCCTATCTCTTTCTACCTATGAGGTAAGCGCAGAAGGACAAAAAATAACTCCAGCCTCTAAGAAAATAGAAGTCTATCGATCCAAAAGTGTTGGCCATGAACCAAACTCAGAAGACTCTTCATCCACGTTTGCAGACACCAGTGTGAAAATACACTTGGAGGTTCTTGAAATTTGCGATAATGAAGAGGCCTTGGACACTGTGTCAATCATTAGTAACATCAGCCAGTCCTCCACACAAGTCAGATCTCCATCCCTACGTTACTCCAGGAAAGAAAACAGATTTGTTTCCTGTGATCTAGGGGAAACGGCCTCATACTCCCTCTTTTTGCCCACCAGTAATCCTGATGGTGATATCAATATCTCCATTCCAGACACCGTAGAAGCACACAGGCAGAATAGTAAAAGGCAGCATCAAGAGAGGGATGGCTATCAGGAGGAAATCCAGTTGTTAAATAAAGCTTACAGAAAAAGAGAGGAAGAAAGCAAGGGTAGTTAATGGGTATTTGGTCTAACAGCAGCAAGAATGGATCTGCAACGTCAGCTGTGAAACTAACACCTTTGTTATGAGACTGATTTCCTTTTATTTGTTGGTTTACATAAGTTTTACTGATTTAATAGTTAATTTTTTGTGGGAACAACTAGAACTAGTGTAAACAATTAAGTGCATATGATGTGTTACCTAAAGATCACACACTGTGGTAATTAAAAGATTTTGCTTCTTATCTGATTTCTAAAAAATCTGTTCTAAATCAAATCTTGGCCTACTTTACTAGTGTTTTTGCTTATGTTTGTCAACCTCCTAGTAAACAGAAAATTGTATAAACTCAGTTACTATACTGTTCCATGCATATGTTTCTACATATAATGTTGGCCTTTACTGCAAAGGGGTAAAAAGAGAAATTTTGGGAATGGAAGAAATGTAACAAAACTCCAAATTGTATTTGAAGGAACTTGCCTAAATGTGGCTAGCAAAACAAGCTTATTACACTTACTGCTTTAGCTTTACATTCTTCTGTAAAATGAAAAATTAGCTTCCAACTGGGAAACATGCATGTTCCTAGTCTATAAATAGTTGTTTCCTTCATTTCTACCAAATACAAATTGTTTACTGTTTTTTCTTTCTTTCTTACCTATAACAGTGTTCCTTTCATCTTCTCAGTATGTCAAGACTGTCCCATAAAACAAGTATGTTGTATGTTAGACGTGGAATTAGAAGTATCTTTAATTCAAACATTATTGGAAAAAAGTTGTAATCATATAATTGTATACTTTTTCCTAAATTTTTTTTAACTTGAGTGGAAATTGGGGGAAAATACTGGCAGATTCAGTTCTGAGAGGTGCATTCAAACATGGTAGGCTTCTGGATACAGCAGTCCAAAATCCTATAAGTCTAAAACAGAAGTATCTGTTTTTAAAGCTATGGATTGGACAAACTTTCTTAGTTATTCTTGAAACAGAAAAGTTTACTTCAAATATTATATCAAGTTTAGGTGCTTCTTTGTTTCTTCTCTAAAGACGTGTTGTCTCAAAGAAACAATTGAACCTATTTTATTAAGTGATTGTATGATATACATTTCAAGACAATTCTAGAAGGCATTACATTGCAAAAATGCAGGAAGCACCTTGGCAGCATAATAGCAATGTGTATTTCAAAAATTATAAAGTGATTTTTCTTCAAATTGCTTTATTCTAACCTTCCTGTAAACATATATGAAATATATTACCTAAAAGTTTATTTTCCAAAGTTACTAAGTTGACACTTTACGTGGTCTTAGATTTTGTGCCCCTCCCCTCATTCATATACTTTATTTATTTACAGATGAATGAATTGTATTTTAGAATGATTTATTTCTGTTTCTATTTTATTAGCTTGAATGAGAATTCAAAATTGCTTGACATGGGCTTTCAGAATGTTTCATCTTCAAAGGGTGTTTTGTTGCCACAAGGACAAGTCATTTTCAAAATAATTATCTCAATGGACTTTCTCAATCTTTAACTTCTCATTAGCTAGTTGTCTAAATTTGGGAAACATATGTATTACCATTAATAATGTTTGTAAAGCAAGCCTCAAATAATGTGTAACATATGAATTCAAAGTCAAATGTATTCTCATTACAAATATATTTTATTTTAAAAGACTGTATCACCAATATTAACAGCTATTTTCACACAGTGACACATGAACAGATCAATCAGATATTATAAATCAGTAGCATTAAATGTCCTTATAAAAGAAAAATTGAATTGAATATTCTAATAATGCTTTGTAAAAGATAGGCTTTGATATCTTAAACTTAGATGTATAATTTTCTGAAAGAGAAAGGTGATATTGCTGCTTTAAAATGCAATTTCAGGCAAAAAGTAAATTAGACACAGGATCATAATAAAGCTGAAAAACAGCAAAGATTTGGAGGCAAACTCATTCTTTATAACTGCACAGCAATTTGAATGGGACAGAGATTATAACAGAAATCAAGGTTTAAAGAGCATTAAGAAATAGATAGAAGATAGTAATGCCCACTTTCCCTCTCATTTTATTTTAACTGAACAAAAGTTTAAACTAGGGGAATTGGAAAAATAATTAAGATATTCCCATTTAATTGCATTTGGTTGTTGAATTAACTGTATAATGGATGCACATAAAAATTCTGCTGCATTGAAACAACACCAGGATTATTTAGCCCAAAGTCATAGTTTGAAAGGCTAATCAGCATCATATTACTAACATGTAACACTTCAAATTCCAACCCAACAATAGCTAAGTATACAAGAAAAATCTACTAGAGCTGTGCTTAAGCATGAATGGCGCTCCAAATCCTTGTTAAGGGAGGAGAAGATTAAACTACACAAGTTCACTTAAGTCTACTTACTCTGTAGAGTGATTGATTATAAAAGTGTTTCTAGTAGAGGAAATAAATACCTTTATAGATACCTTGTGATATAGCCAAATACCTTACCCTTGTATAGTTATATTGTTCTTCTTATTAATAAATATCTATTTTGTATAGTTATCTCTTTTCTCTATAAATTGATGTATCTGAAGGCAAAAACTTCTTGTTACCTAATAAAAATATCACCATCTGGTGGTGACTCCTATAAACTGCAAATACGTAATCCCCAAGACTCCCTAATAGTATAAACACCTAATACATAATCCCTAAGACTTCTGAGAGTTGTGACTGACAGAGGCAACTCTTTGAAGATAGCAAATGCCACCATATTACTTAAAATATAATAAAAAAGTCTTAGTTATGCATTTTTGGAAGCTTTTCTTGACATGTGTCTGTAATATTGGATTTTATAAATCAATTTTCTCTTAATTTCTTATACTTTTCAGCTACCCTAATTCATTTCTTCATTCTAATATTTAATAAATGACTACGACATACTAAAAATTGTTCTAGGTACTTGATTTTATAACTTTTAAACAAAACTCAAACAAAACAAATATATGTATTTATATTTACTGGGTTTGACACAACCACAAAGTCAGAGAACACAGTCCACACAAGATTGCTCTCACTCGTGACACAAATTGCAAATTCAAGGAGTTCCCAAAACCACTGCTAGTTTCAATAACTCACTAGAAGGGCTCACAGAATTCATAGAAAACTGTGTACTCATGGTTATGGTTTATTACAGCAAAAGGACACAGAATAAAATCAGCCTAGAGAAGAGGTCACAGAGCCAAGTCCAGGAAAAGTTGTAAATGTGGAATTTCTATGGTACTCTCCCCATGGAGTCATGGATGGCATTACTTTCTTTGGCGTCGATGTGTGACAACTTGCACAGAATACTGCCAAGCAGAAAAGCTCAACTGAACCTTGGTGTAAAGAGTCCTTACTGGGGCTGCATCATGGTGGGAGCAAGGGTAAGCATGGCTGATTACTCACATGACTGATGTCTCTTTCAGGCTCTCCAGGAGGCCAAGTTGATACAGAATGCCCAAAAGTCCCCTCTCTAAAACACATTGTTACTATCTGCTGGTCCAAGGACCCCAGACAAACAAAGATACTCTTCAGCCATGACATTACAAGGGCTTAGAAATTACCTCCCCAGAAGGTGAGGACAGAGGCCAAACCTCTCTTTGGATAGGTTACGTTCTTTTCTATACATTTACATATATACATATGGTAGTGATAAGTGTGTGGTACATATATATGTATGCTGGTATTAAGTGTATTGACAGAAAATAGGGACCAGAGGTAACAATGGCCAAAGAGTAAAATTAGAATAAAGGGACAAATATGGGAAGAGTGTTTGTTTTCAATAATTTAGTCAGAAAAGCCTTCACTAATAAAGTAATACTTCATCAGAGCCTCAAATAAAGTGAGGAAACATGCTATGTGATTATCTAGGGAAATCACAGTCCCAGCAAAGGGAACAGCAAGTATCCAGAAGTAGGAGTATGGCTTTTGGAATCTGAAACCATTAAGGAGGTCAATGTGAATGCAGCTGAGTGATAAAGGGAGAAAGTGGTTGGAGATAAAGGCAAACAGATAATAGCAGGAGGAGACAGGCTATTAGTGCCTTGCAGACCAGGTATGAACACTGAGTCTTGTTTTAAATGAAGTGAAAAGCCATCGGAGGGCTCTGAGCAAAAAAGTGACATGATCTGATTTCAAAAATGATTGTCTATTGCAAGGGCCAAAGACTGTACAGACACAAAAACCACCACAGAAAGAACACTTAGGCTATTCTAATAGTCTAGGCTAGAGATGATGTTGGTTAGGTTTAGGGTGGTAGTAGTAGAGATGGCATTAGAATTGTATTCTGATGCAATAAGTGGAGAGGATTTCCTTGGTAACATGAAATAAATCACACATTTCTTAAAAGCCTATGAAGCCTATAGTTTGAGGGAAAAACAAGTATCATATTTATTTTCTGTCAATACTCTGCAATATCTCAATGTTTCTCCACTCCTCTATGTATCACAGAGGCTAGAAGACAGAAAACTTTGTTTCCAAGACCCTCTTTTCTGCAAAGTTCGGGTTTAGCATCTAACAATGAAAGGCATTTGTACAAGATTTGGAAGGCAGAGAGCAGCAGCAGTTAAATGAATGTTCCTTATCATTCCTTTCTTCTTTAAGATATGGCTCAGGGGTCTAAGTTCATGTAGTTTTACAATGTTAATGTATGGTTCTTATGATCATTTTGCTCATCTGCATCAGTCGACAGATGGGAAAAGGACATGAAGGATTCTGCACTGGAGTGCTTGGTGAGACTGGCTTGGAAGAACTGCACCTCAGTCATTGCAGCCTCTGCTATTGGATAGAACTCAATACAGAATGACAGCTGATTCCAAAGAAGACTAGGAAATGTATTTAGCTGTGTACATGAAGAAGAACCCAAACTATGGCGAAGAACTAGCAAGTCTGTCTCTGTTGCATGCCCTATAACCAACTAGACAATCACATATTGTACCATAATAGAATGTAAATAGCGCTCCCTGCCCATTTTTATAAGCTTCAGAGGCAGAGGCATTGCACACAGTAATTGAACAATGATACATTTTCCCAACTTTGAATTGTACGGTCTTAACCCCGAATCTGTGACGTCAACACTCTAGTTCAGACTATAGTGCTCCAAATGTAAGGTAGTTTGTTTATACAATCTCTTTTATAGTTTAAAGTACAAAGAAGATCATATCTGCTAGTCTTTCCTACAACCTTGAAGTCTTAATTTCAAATACATAGAGAATATATATACACAAACATTCATACACAGGCATAGAAACATATATTCCTCTCAAGAATAGGCAATCACTTTCCAGAATTGAGCAAAGATCCAAATATAAAACAACTTTGAACACAATCTGTTGCAATGTTATATAGAGCAGTTTAGATAATCGAAGGCATGTTGTTTTTGAAACACTTTGTTACAGAGGAAGACCTTTGCTCTACCTTCACATAAACGTAGTCTCACTGGGTAATTTTTCAAGAATAAGGGAAAAAATATGCCTCAGAGGTAAATTGTATTCTCTACCACTTAGTAAAAATACAACTTCTAAAAATTTTCTTTTGTCTCATTCTGTCACCCTGGCTAGAGTGCAGTGGTGTGATCTCGGCTTGCTGCAACCTCCGCCTCCCAGGTTCAAGCAATTCTCCCACCTCAGCCTCCTGAGTAGCTGGGATTACAGGCACCTGCCACCACACCCAGCTAATTTTTGGTAGAGACGGGGTTTCACTATGTTGTCCAGGCTGGTCATGAACTCCTGACCTCAAGTGATCCGCCTGCCTCAGCCTCCTAAAGTGCTGGTATTACAGGCGTGAGCCACCATGCCCAGCCCCAAAAACTTTCTAATGTCAGGTCAAAAAATATTAGGAGTTTAGACAAAGCCACGGTTAAACACTTAGTGTGGTAAAGTTACATTATCTACTTGCTAACTGAACCTTAAAAGGCCTTATATTTTCATTATCCTTTTTAAATTAAAAAAAGTTCTATTCATTAAAATGTCTTAGCACTCTTTCACAATACTTTTTCCTAAGATCTAAGATTGCATGTTTACACTGGGTGAGGAAAATCCACCAATTTAATGAGATTATGTAGTTTTAAAAGGAAAATACGTTATGAAAATCTCTCAAGAAGGATTTTAATGTGGATCTTGAAACCCTATGACCTTACAAAGTCACAATTTTTGTTTTCTTTTTTTGTGGGAAACAGATGGAATTAGTAGGCAGACATGGCATTTGTTCATACAAATATCTGGTTCACCTAGCATAGTGTTTCCTTTAGAATTGTTTTCCTTCCATTCCACATGCTCTTCTCTTCTTCCACTTTTTTTTTTTCCTGAGACAGAGTCTTGCTCTGTTGCCCAGGCTGGAGCGCAGTGGCATGAATGCACGCACTGCAGCCTTGATCTCCTGGGTTTAAGCTGTCCTCCCACCTCAGCCTTCCAAGTAGCTGGGACCACAAGCTTTGCAGCACGATGCCTGGCTAATTTTTGATTTTTTGTAGAGACAGGGTCTCCCTGTGTTGCCCAGGCTGATCCCTAATTCCTGCATCCTGCTCATCTAATGTGACTTTGGCTCTATACTCCCATGGTGTGCTAAGGCCCTAGCCGCCCTTAAACCTAAGTGGACACCTGTAACTGTCTCAACTAGTAAAACATAGAGGAAGTGATGCTATGTGACATTTGAGACTGGTTCATAAAGATGTCAAATGTCATGTACTTCTACCTTGCTTGGTGACACCTGCTCTTGAATCCAGCTGCAATGCTGTGAGGAGGCTCAAACTAGGCCGCACAGAGAAATAAAATGGACAGGCTATGTGTAGGTGTTCCAGTCCACAGCCAGATTTTACATTCTATCGAAGGGTAGAGTCACTTTTATCAGCATGTCCCTATCCCTACCTCTAAGTGGAAGTAGAAGTTAAAGGTTTCATTTTCCAAAAACACTGAAGAAAATCTCCTTCACCCCCATGCCTTTAAGAATATTACAGCTATGAATAAATTATATAAGAGTTGTTTCACAGGGTTCAGATTTTAAAAATGAATAAAAGATTCCCTGATCCTGAGAAAATTGTGACAGTTTCCAGTGGTGGTGTGGTTCTGTGTGGCTCACCTTTGCTGCATTCCAGACTGGCCAGCAGGTGTGATGGGGAGAGCAGAAGCTGGACACCAAATGCTGTGGGTTTGAAAGCAATGGCTACGCATTCTGTGGCCCAGGCCATCATTAATGAAGGGGACATTTGAAAGAGACATCTTGGTTGCCTGCCCAAAAACAGCACACAACAGAGGACCAGTAAGAGAAACAATGGCAATTATAATGAACCATTCTGTTTGTTTTCTGGCATTAGGTAGTGTAAACAATTTCGTGGTTCTGATGAAGACAGGGAAAAAAGAAAAAGCAGGTAACAACTGACATTTTCCTTCCCATCAATATCTCTCAGGTCTTTCATTGAAAATCTTCCTTTTGTGCAGATTTTTACTACAGTGACATTTGTCCTGAAGTGTTCACCTAAAGAAATAGCCTCAAGTAATACCTTAAGTACTAGTTCATGCTTAAGAAGTATGGAAAACAGTAATTTCACATTTATAACTAAGAATGGACTTAGGATCAGCAAACATGAGGTGAAGGGCAATAAAAGAGTGTATCAGAAAATAGAGATAATGCTAACTTTCTCTGGGGCTGTCATGAGGATTGTGTGAAATGAGATAAGGAATTGTATTACTTTTCTAGTGTAGCCATAAGAAATTACTACAGAGTCTTAACTAACACAAATTTACTATCTTAAAGTTCTGTAGCATAATGTTTT